GAGATGTGTGCTGAGCGGAGCCAAGCATGTCTCTGTAGAGCTACAGCAGCGGCCATATGTCTAGAAGCTGCCTCGATTATGTGATGTGCTGTTATGCGTTCTTGGCATGCCAATGCCATAGCCTCTTGATGAAAGGCGAGGCTGCAAGGCTTGTATTCTCCAGGGGCTGATGGCAAGGTTGGAAGGGCCTTGTTTCAAAGGAATCTATGATAGGCCCCCATCGCTGCTTGATAACTGGCAGCATGGAGAGTGAATGATGCCAGAGAGTAAACTGTGTCCAATAATGTCAATTTTCCCCTTCTTTATTGTTGGGAGTAGTGTTGGAACGAGTGTGTGACCTATTTTGTGTCGCATCCACAGTTACAGAATTGGGAGGTGGATATTTGGAGAGAAATTCTGTATTTTAGCCATGGGTCTTATATAAGTTTTCGACTCTTTGAGATTTGTGGTACCAAGGATGGTTTGGACCACGATTGTTTAACCAATTTAAGAAGGGATAGAATGAACCCCATCCGGAGTGGAGGAGTTGATCCTCGTTGATATCCTCATACACCTTGTCTGATTCTGATTGGACGGGTTGTTGCACATCCGGATCCATGGCCTTCGCAATGCACAGAACTATTTGAGAGTACAAAGGGAAATCCTCCGATGGAGATGGATGGTTGGTATCAGCCACATCCAAATCAGGAGTTGGGAAATTGGGAGGTGATTCTTGCTGTACCATTGAATCTGAAGATTCAGTATTGGAAAATTGTATAGGTGATAGTGAGGATCCCTGTTGATCTGAAGAGGCTGATGTATCTGGAAGAGCCTCTGGCAAGTGATGTTTTGATGCTACAGTACTGTGCTTTAATGGTACCGACTGAATAGGTTAGTTCAATTGGTGTTGTTTGCAGGTCCTGATGTAGTCATGTATGTATTGACACCTCAAAGACCCAGAATAGGTGGGAAACCTCCCTCTTTCCTCAGTACCGTGAAGTACCAGGAGTAGTAACTGATGAAGTTAAGACGCTCAGGAACAGTCCCAATGATGCCTTCACTGAGGAGAGTACTGATCTCCAGTAGGACCACTGGTGGAGAGATGGTTTCTAACAATGTTCATGATGGAAGTTGATCAAACTCAATTTGATAGCTCTACTGCATAACACTAAGGACCCATCTGTGGCAAACGTACATTGTAAATATAGTTTTATGTAGCTTTGTAAGTTGGATATGTGCCACAAGTGACATTTAAAACAGTGAGAAGTGTGGGATACTGTGTGTGGATGGAACTGATTTGATTGGTTGATATGATTCCTGACTGGAAAGATATGTTTGTATATAAAAGGGGATGTATGTGCAAGAGAGAGAGAGAGCTGAGCTGAAATTGCTAAGAGCTGGGAGTTTTCAGTCTGAGAGTGAGTGTGGTTTGTTTTGGAAAGAGATTATGAATAAAAGTGTGGCTTCATTGGAGCCTGTATAAAAAGTAACATCCATTTATCCCTCTATCTATGTATATATCTATAAAAAAAACCTGACTGTATTTAAATTGTAAAGAAATGCAGTAAAAGGGAACACTGGCTGTTTGGCTAGATTGGTGATGGGAATAACCAAAGAGGAGTCCTTATTCACAGATTAAGTGGAAACTCCAAAATCAGTGCAGGACTTTGGGGGTGACTGTCCTTTTTTTAAAATGGAGAAACACACTGACAGAGAAAGTATGTGTCACATCATTTGGTAGTGATCTTGTTCCAAGCTTGGAGATGTTAAACTTGCCTCTTGTCAAAGATGGCAGATTGGGCATAGATGTAGGAGGTGTGATGGTACTGAGCACTCCCAGTATTGTAGCTGATGTTCCTTGTTGGAGCTTAGGTGACACCATGGGCATAACAGCAAAAATCCTCACTTCCCCTCTGCAGGTGTACATTTGTATGATGAGGTTGGTGGAATCAAGCCTGCCCTTGTGCCTCCCATGGTGCAGTCCTATATCGGCATCTTGCATGGCATCACCAGAGAAGGAACCCAGCTTAGCTACCACTCCTTATCAGGAGGAAATTCCTCTGGGGCAGCATCCATGAGGGAGGACTTCCCCACCATTTAATTTAAGACACCTGAGGGATCAAGCAAGGGGGCAGGGACAGAGGAAATAAAAGACGGGAAGGTCAGGGATTCAAGGGAGGTGGAGAAACTCGGGGGAGACTGAATGATTTAGTACCAAGGGGGGACTACCCTGGAGTGTCCAGGGCTGGCAGAGTGGGGGTGTTAACTGGCTCTATGTAAATCTCCCCTGGTATCAGTTGCCAAATATATCCTCAACCACCCAGCCCAGTGAGAGGCACAGTCCACTCTGATGTTAAAACAAAAACACAAGAGAAAGAGGTATAGGCAGTAAGCCATTTTACCATGCTAGGAACTGAAAGAGGGGTGCAAGGGCCTCACCTCCCGGTAGCGGCCAACCAGAAAGACTGGACCTAGATCTGGAGAGTGAATGGGACCACTCACAGGTTTCTTTTCCAAATTTGAAGACTGGGCTTGTTGAGGTGCACAACTGAGGAGATGGCCTGAATGCCTTTGGCTGAATAAAGCAAAGGTTTGTTAAGCTCATACTAGAGATACAGACACACTTCTGGGGCCTTTCGACATTCTGCTGCCCATGGAGGACCTGGACATTCACAGTCTAGTACCGTAAGAAGAATTGATTATCAAGGTTGGATGTTTTGTGGATGGCTGGTGGGGTCTGGAGGAGACAGTATGGCCAGAAGGGTATTGACAGCAACATTGGTGTTTAACCTGTCAACCGTTTGCAGTGTGAAGTGGGTGGAAGGACTCTCATTCGTCTGGCCACTGTAATTCATCTGTGGCCTGATTACAATTTCTTATCAGTTTGAGATGAAAAAAGATCCTGGCCATCAAGCAGCACATCAACTACCTTATCTGTATCAACTTGGGATGGACGGGTAGATCAGAGTCAGGTGCACCACCATAAGGTGACTGATCTTGTTAAAGCCTCTGCAGAGCAATCCCCTGCTCTGCAGCATTCATCGTTTGCTGAGATATGTTTGCAGCCTCTTTGATGAATAATGCTGCTCCTTGTTTCATGTCACCAGGCAGGAGATCCATGAGTGCAGCCACATTGTCCCACATGAACATCTGATACTGCTGCAAGTAAACCTGCCAGTTTCCTGTAAGTGTGGCCTCAGAGTAGGCTCATATCCAAGCAGCTCAAGTCACTTTTCCTTCTTATTGGTGGAACTGAGGTTGTTTTCTTCCCTCTTGATGAAGCCAGCATCTAACATAGTACGTACATCTGTCATCATGAATATATGGAAAAGGAGAAACAAAACATACACTCTCTTTCATCACTGGAGGAGCCATTAAAGAGTCCGTGGACATGTGTGATAGCACCAGGAGACAATAAATATCAACTAAATTTAAGCTCTGGAATTTCCCAAGACTGGTTTCTGCACAGGGGCCAAAACCCATATGTGTGGAAAGCAGCAGCATTTCACAATTTAAAAAAAAATGACACTAGGAGTGAGTGCTGTATATCTGCAAGAATCTTTACAAAGTTTGATATGTCTTCACCAAATAATTTGACAAATAAAAAGAATTTTGCTTAAATGCAAAGTTTCTGCATTATACGCAATTTTGGAATCTGTTAAGTCTGTTAAGAGAATCTACAGACATTTGAACCTGATTTCAAAACTGCCCAAATTAACAACATATATGTGAGACTATATCTGTCTCTAAGGTGAGTAACAGAGGCTCCAAATATCCCTGGACTAATCAGGTCCATGATAAATCCATTGGTCTAAGAAGTCCTTTGGGTAAACCAAGAAGTCAAATAATGAGCACTTGCACATTATAGTGGCCATGGTGGCTGGATCTTCTTGGAGTTGTAGTCTAAAAAAAGTATTTTTTTTCTAAAAAGCTTTTTAATAATTTCAATAATTTTTGCTTAATAAAAGTAAGAGTCACTGATTTCAAGTTGAGGTGTTGCTTCTTTTCTTCGTCCCCTGCAACCATGACCCTTTTTGTGATGTATGGATATCTATGTTTCTCTTCTTCTATGAAAGGAAGATTTTCTAAATATGTGGTGACCATTTACAACTATGTAAAAGTGTACGCTTGAAGAAGAAATATGAAGATTTGAACATAAAGCTACTGCTGAGAATAGAAAAGGTCTCTAGAAATGTTCTTTCAACTGCTCTCAATGGCAGATGAAAAAATACTGAGGTAAATCAGTTAGGTGCAAGATATATATTCTGGAAGGGGCAGAGCTCCAATAGAAAGCTATTATTACATATTTTGTATTTGTCTTAAATGTAGAACTTGGTGTCAAAACTGTATTTGCCAAGGAACAACTACTTTCAAGTTAAGGTAAAGGTAAAGGTTCCCCTTGACATTTTTAGTCCAGTCGTGTCCGACTCTAGGGGGCGGTGCTCATCCCGTTTTCCAAGCCGTAGAGCCAGCGCTTGTCTGAAGACAGTTTCCGTTGTCATGTGGCCAGTGTGACTAGGGAGCGCCATTTTTTCCCACCGAGGTGGTACCTATTTATCTACTTGCATTTACATGCTTTCAAACTGCTAGGTTGGCAAGGAGCTGGGACAAAGCGACGGGAGCTCACTCCATCGCGTGGATTCGATCTTACGACTGCTGGTCTTCTGACCCTGCAGCACAGGCTGCTATATAACCTGACCCCAGCAATGGTGGGCCCATGAAACACCATGTGTCATGAGAGCACTGCATCACTCACTCCCCCACCAAACTTTTGCTTGCATGGACACCTAGAGTAGACCATTGTGGATGAAATCACATTCAGGAACTTATTTTTGGCCCCAGCTCCCTCTTTTCTCCCACTGAATATCGAAGAGGGGAAAGTGAGTGTGCACATGGATAGAGCATAGAGGGGGTCGTTGTACTTCTCACATTCTTCCGTTATAAGCAGAGAGAAGAAGATCTTCTCACACTTCTGCACTCACAGATTTTTTTGCAGAGAAGGAAGAGTCTGAGAACAATGAGACTGTTGGTCTTTCAATACCACAGAGGCAAGCAAACACAAACGTAACAGGAACCCAAATTAGCTACACTTGTGATATTGTCTGTTTGATGGAACAAAGAGACATTCCTGTTAGTACCTGTTTTCGTAAGGCAAAGGTAGTCCATAACAAAATATATTATTCCTTTGTAATAAAGCTATCACGTTCGAAATAAAAATACAGAGCAGCAGTATCTTAAAGCGGGAACATAGTAATTCAAAAGAAACTGGGCTCTTGTCCAAAATACTACTGCAACACAAGAAGTTTAAAATTCAAGTTATGGATGCACCATTACTTGGGAGTCAGTGATCCTGGAAGTCAAATGTATCTGTCGCCTCAGTTTTTACTCTCTACATTGTTACTTCATTTAAAAGGAGTGCCTCATTCACTGCTTCTGTGTCACCCCAAGATTAAAATTTCACACAATGCAAAATCCACAGGAATTGCATTCATGTCACAAATATCATATTTGCAGTATTGCACAACACGTTTCTGTCAAAGAAGTAATAATGCTTCTCAAGTTTCACCAGAACAAAATAAAAATTTTTAAAAAATTAAAAATAGGCCTCTCACAAGTAACAAATACAAACTAAATCTGAAGGGAAAAAATTGTAACACAACTAGAGGGATGTGGACATCGGATACACTAAGTGTTTACTTGCCCCAGAATTAGGAGCAGTCTTCTGCCAGCAGTCATCCCTTAATGGACTTTTTGTCCTGTTGCAACAGTTCTGACACAAGTCCTGCTTTTCTCTTAAACATAGACACAACACTGTGTTTCTGTCGAGTTGTTCCTGGTCTTTGCGTTTGTACAGGTAAGGTTGACTGGATCATTCAAAGATCATATAACGTTTAACAAAAGAGTTTTTTATCTATCACTTGATCATTTGAGTCTCTTCATCAGCATCGTAAAATTCTTCATCTTCACTTCCACTCCCTGTAGAATCTTGACCAGTCTGAAAGGCATGTAAGATTCTGATGACATATATATCCTTCCCAAAGCTTTGGATAAAAATTATTAATACAGTTAATCTGAGCACTGCTAAACTTTTCACAGATTTATGGATGGATAGCAGAAGGTAAGTGTGGCCTTCAGCATATTGGGAATGTTTAGAACAGTGGTTCTTAACCTTGGGTAATCCAGGTATTCTTGGACTGCAATTCCCAGAAGCCTTCACCACCAGCTATGCTGGTTGGGGCTTCTGGGACTTGCAGTCCAAGAACACCTGGGTTACCCAAGGTTAAGAACCACTGGTTTAGAATGCAGCATGCAAATGAATGCATGATGACTGGAGAGGAAGGAAGTCCTTAGCAAACTAACATGCTAAATAGCTTGCATGCCCCCCTTTTTTCTGATCAATTAACTGACCTTTTCTCTTGGCGGGCAAAGATGACCCCCTCCCCTGCTTCTGCAGGTTTATTGGCCTTTGTTTAGAGAGTTGTTCTCTCCCTTCCAACTGGGACGTCTCAGGGCACAGATGCTCTTGAGCGTCTTTGTACCATGTCCACCATTTTGACCCTCAGCCAGGAGGGTTGAAAGGGCCCAATTGTGTTTTTACGCCTTTTTGATTGTTCGTCATTCCTCCTCCTAACATCTCTGAATGTTTTCTTCTGTAACACCTACAAATAGCAGTAAATTCATTTTTCCTTTTTAATATAAAGCAGTGGCTGAGTGATATTTTTTTGAACTGCTTTAAAGCATTGGGAGGGGGGTGTTTGGGAATTTTCTCTTTAATTCTAACTCCTGAGTTCCACTGTGCAACAAAGGGGAATTAAATGTATTCCAGCTGGTTATTATAACAACTCTACACAGCAAGGCACTGTATTGCAGCTCAGCCTTCCATTTGCAATAGATAGATAACATTAATATCCAATTTACAAGGCTGTGGAAATGTTTATAGAAATGTATACCTGGTGCTTTTAAAATTCTATGGAGCTACAAAATACTGTTAGTATTGGCACAAGAAACTAAACAATCTGGCCAGTTTATACTAAGTTTTTACTTGTGGTTTCAGTTGTATTTAGAACACACATTTTGTGGCATGTTTTGGTTAACCTCCTTTTGTACAAGGTTAAGAAATGACCAACATTCAGAATGTGCAAAACAGAGCAGGCAAGGGGCTAGATTTCACACAAGACAATTCCTGTCCGTCTTGAATCCTCTCTTCTGTCCTCTTGAACTTTACTATGTTCATCTAAGCTTAGGAAACGAAGCACTAAAGTTATCTAGTGCTAGCAGCTTATCACCACCACCACCTCTACAGCTATGACCTTCAGTAGGGCGGCAGCTAACCTTTGTTGCTGCTCATTTCCAGCTGTCTGTCCCTCGCATGGAGATCTGAGCACAACTTCTAAGTCCTTGGTTGCTAAGGTAAGAGTGTGGGTGTAGACAGCGCTGAGCATCTCTGCTACACAACCTCTGCTACACAACCTCTTCAGAAGCAGAGTGGGTTGTTCTGCTGAGACACAAATGAGCTGCCAAAACTCTGCTGGGACCAAACATTATATAACCCTGGGAACATGGCCCTCCTTCCTATGACCAATTGTGTCTTCAAACTGGTGATGAAGAACTACTGGTGTTTCCCCCCAACCCGACATTCTTTTCCTCTAAAAGAACAGGCAGGAATGAAGGGATGGTTACTGCTATGCTTCCAAATTAAAAAAAGAAAAGAGGTCCCTGTGCAAATCTGAGAACCTGAGGGAAAACCTCACTATCTTTAGATTAGAAAATGCACATACATGTGATTCTTCTAGTGCTTGCAATGAGATTGCTTCATCTCCCAGTTTCCGGTATGAACAGACTTGCAGGTCAGCTATTGTCTCCAGCAAAGGGCTATTTAGGGTTTCTGGCAGTAGTAGACTCAGAAGACCAGATAATAAACTTGCCACTCCAAACACAATATATGGCAGATACCACTGGAAATATTTCTAAAAATAAAAATATTTAAAAAAAAATACAGATATCTCAAACAAAGAAAAATAGCTGAAGCACAAACTGGGTTTAACATGAAAATTACTAAATGTTATTGCACACTCAACTCATTTTCAGCTATCTTATACAGTAGGACCCACGTATCTGCTGATTCAGTTAAGCATGACCTGAAAATATTAAAAGTTTTAAATGAAAATGCCTAGATATATGGACAACCAAATGTAGTTAACAAAACTGGCCACTAGAGCGGACCAGACACTACGGTCTATAGGCGAGGCAGCTTCCTTTCAGAGCAGCATCACTGTAAAACTCAGAGCTGGATTGGGTGGCAAGGCCGTTTTGGGGGGGAGGGAAGCAAGCCTTAAGCCAAACTGCCTCCTGGGAGATATTTTCCAGCTCTTGCCCTTTCCTGCCTTCCATCCCACTCTTTCCTCAAGACTCCCAAGCAAACAAGGAATTGGACTCTTAATTGTCTTTGAAGAAGAAATGGCCCAGTGCCATTGAGATTGTGTGTGTGAGTGAGTGAGAGCGAGAGAGAACAGTTGCCTTCAGTCTTCAGCAGGTTAGTAAAGGAGAGAAGACTCCACTGAGATAAAAATTATAGGTACGGGGGGTCCAACATACGGTGTTTGCTATAAACTGCGTTTTTCACCATCTATGGTAGGGTGTGTGCTCTTGGAACCAATCCCCTGTGGATAAGGGGGTCCTACTGTATCATCAAAATTCGATATACAGCATCAGGATCTAGAGTGGTGAATGTAGAGCAAGCTGCCACAGCTGGCAATTTAGACTACTCCTTGCTACAACGTCACAACCAATTCCTCCCCCCCCCCCCCCCCCAATTCTGTGAAGTAAAACATTGTGTCTACAAAAACCTCTCAAAAAATATCCTAGCAACAATTTTTGGCTTGCAAAAAAAAAAAACCTCAACACACAATGTACAAATTATATTTGGACACACTACATCTGAAGTCAAGGAACTGTGAAACAAACCAACCAACCAGAGATGGGACGAAAGGAGCAATGATCCCTCCAACCCGGGAGAACATAGAGCAGACTCCCATTCCAACATTCCTGTGAGAAAGCAAGACAAAACAGTGGTCTTTATGTGAACCATTTCCCACCGGATAACATGGCTTCAAACTGTAGTTCTTCATTCAGAACGTGTCTGGAGACTACTGGAAATGCTTATAAGTTGCCAATCACTTGGGCCTCTGTCCCTGTCTATCTCTGCAATACTATCTCGCACGACAGACTTGCCTTCTTCTTGATTTTATCAGCAGGTCAGACACTGTTATTTTGACTTCTGAAGGAAAGTTAAGGGGTGGGGTGGGAAGAGACACCACCTGTCAGCTATACAGTGACAGAGAGGCTGGACAGAAGAAACAGTAGAACATGAGGCCAATCAGCATCCCAGTAGGTCTGGGTTTGTCACAAGACGAAACAGTAGAACATGAGGCCGATCAGTTGCAATGGTTGGAGGACCCAAGAAATAGGAGCAATGCCACCAGATAGCTGCAGCGCTCTGAAGAATACTGTACTATATAACATAACCTTCCCTTGCCCCCATTAACTTTCATCCAGATTGCTGGGAAGCGGAAGGATATGGTTCAAGCTTACCCTCCTCTCAACAAGGTCTAACCCACAAGGGACAGGTGGTGCCTGAAGATGGCTCTCCTCACATGCTCTTTTTTCTAGCATTACTCGGCTCCTGCTAGTTTGCCAAACAGTTGTTGGGTGGGGTGTTAGGCATTTGATAATGCTAGGAGATGAGGATTAGGATAATCAACCTTGCAGGGGAAGCACAGGGCCCCTGTGGTAGGCAGCCAGTGCTTATGCCCTGTAGGCTGTATGTTGTCCATGCTTGATTTCAAGCACTGCATCTTCCCTACATGAGTGGCATTTTTAACTAAGATTTCCACATTTCACATTTGTATTACAGGAAAAGCAGAAACCTAATTTCCACCAGCCAGCCAGCTCTTCATGGACAGGAAGTGCATCTAGGGAGACTAAAGCTGGTTTACCATAGATGAGGCCAAAGAAATGGCTTTAGGCCTACAGTAATTACAGCATTTGCCTCCCTGATCTATACTCTCCCAGCCCAGGCCTCCCAACCGGTATCTCAGTTTGTTGCTGCATGCTCTGATATACGGCCAAATGAAGTCCAAGTGACATCCATGGAACTTTTCCCTTTTGCATGTTTATTTTATCCATTAGTGTTCATCTCCTTAGTTCACTTCTACACCTCCGTTCCTAGGATGATTTGCACATAGGAACACTAAGAAGCCTGCTTCTGAAACTGCTTCAGGACAACCTTGTGAACCCAGCCTTTATAGAGACCCTAAAAAGGAGGCCTTGTGCATTTTAAATGAGTGATGCCTCCCCAAAAGAGGAAGAGGTGGTTACACAGATAACAGAAGTCATGACAAGAAACGGAGCACATCTTACCTTATCACGGTAGGATAAAGTTCTGAGGTGTAGATATAAACAATGTTGAAGGCTGAACTGATAGTCAGTTTTCCAAGTAAAGACAATGAACGACTGTTCACAACTGCAAGCACTCCTGCATCTGTTAGGAGGGATGCGCAAAAAGCATAGCTGTTAGCGCTCTGTAGCAAGAAAAGACAACATTCTGGCTTCAATTTGGTCCCTGCATTACCTGCCTATCTCCCAGAAAGAAGAACAGGGCAAGAGGAAGCCCAACCTGTTTCTGTATCTCAGCCAAAGGAGGAGGAGATGCAAAAAGCCTGCTTCCTCCTTCCATGTTGGAAGGAAGAACACAGGGCCTCAACATCAGAGCTGAAGAAAGGCTCACCTTCGTGTTTGCCATTAGCAAAACGAACAAGCATGTTTAAAGCATTTCGAATAGACAACCTGACTGAAATATATTTCATAGCACCCATTCTCAACCTTTTTTTTTTTTTGGCCACAACTATAAAGACAACATGAAAGGTTTTCATAGCACCCATTCTCAACCTTTTTTTGGCCACAACTATAAAGACAATATGAAAGAAATAAAGGCCTTATTAGGACTGTATAGTGGGACGTGGTGGCGCTGCGGGCTAAACTGTAGAAGCCTGTGCTGCAGGGTCAGAAGACCAGCAGTCGTAAGATTGAATCCACGCAAGGGAGTGAACTCCCGTCGTTTTGTCCCAGCTCCCGCCAACCTAGCAGTTCAAAAGCATGCAAATGCAAGTAGATAAATAGGGACCACCTTGGTGGGAAGGTAACAGTGTTCTGTGTCTAAGTCGCACTGGCCATGTGACCACGGAAGATTGTCTTCGGACAAACGCTGGCTCTATGGCTTGGAAACGGGGATGAGCACCGCCCCCTAGAGTCAAACACGACCGGACAAAAAATTGTCAAGGGGAACCTTTATCTTTACCTAGGACTGTATAAATCGCAAAACAAACCTTATAAAGTGGTGTGTGAAGAATTATTTCCCGTTTGCCTCCCCACTCAAATGTGCCAAGGCCTCCCAAGGGGCCATATAGCCCCCACTGAGAATGGGTGGTTTAACACACTCACTTTTTTTCTGAGCGGCACGACTAAAGCGGTGTAACTCAGACAAATTATCTAGCTTGGGATCCTGGTTTGCTGGTACATTATGGGTTGAACACATGGTTTGCTTGAACCATAATTGCACAGAACAGTAAAGTGGTTTTGGTGCTCACAAAACATGAAAGCTTCTAACCATTCTTCAATGCAGATGGAGAAATCTTCATAATCTGTGGCATCAACAGCATGGAGCCTGACACTGCAAATAGTCCCAACTCGCTCTTAAAATTGTACCAGCCAGAGGTGAAATATTTGCATTCACCTTAAGCTTCCAGGAAAAGAGTCAAGTGGAAGGAACAAAATGCTACTTGTTTTCCCTTACTTAGTAAGTTGCTTGCAGGAATAAGGACAGTTATAGAAACCAGAAACAGACAAAATGGTGCACATGAAAGTCTTAGTACAGCTTAGGTACAGGTGTGCAGTAGTGTCCAAGTCAAACTGGAGACATTCACATTTTCTGTAAAATATGGAACCTTTTAAAAGAAGGTTTGGCTTAATAAATAACTTAAAGAAACATTGTTAGATATATTCTACAATAAGTAGTGCCAACCAAGGTTCCCACAAGGCAGTGAACTCACTTCTAATAGTGAAAAGCACTGAATCTCTTTCTCTCTCACACACACACACACAAAAAGACTCTTTTTCTTTTTATCTTTTTCTCTTCTCTGAGAGGGTTGCTAATCTCCTTGTTGTTTTTAAGCCTCAAGCTGGATGGGTTTTCCAGAGTACTGTACTTAACAACCCAGTGGCTCATTCTAATGACCCCTCAAGTAAGGCATCTGTCAGGAAGGCAGCTACTCCAGAAAGTACCGCTGTCCACTCTTTTGCTCTGACAGACGCCACAGGAAGAAAACTGACGCATCCTGCTTTCTAGAGAAGCTGGCCAAAAACTTTGCTCTCAGACCATGGCACCACTGGGTGCTCTGGAAAACCATAGTAACCACTCTCCTTGTTCCAGGGCATCATTCTAGTGAGCTTGTGACTGAGGCATTAGGGATAAGATGGCTAAGAAGACTAGGTATTTGAGCAACACAGCAATACAGATGAGCTCCTTGGCCATTTCCTCCACAGCATCTTTCTGAGGAGGAAGGACCCCCACAGACCAAGCCATAGAAAGAGAAGTGGCAGCTGGAATGCTGAGGTAGGGCATGCCCTTCTGCCTCAGGCAGGGCAACATCTTGCACCACCCCTTTAAAAAGAGAGTGGAGGAGGGAACCGAGACAAAAGACGAACTGAACGTTTTCAATCTCCATCTGCAACACAAATGAATTACACCATTTTCTGTTATTATGAGCTGGAGTTTAAAATTTAATAAAGAAGACAAGTAGGGACAATTAAGTGTCAATTAAGTCCATGTGTATTAAGCACGATTAACTGCTTGCTGATCTGCAGCTGAAAAAGAAAAAGAGGTTTTCTGTGTTTCCGCTGAGGCAGGATTTAAATAGTAGATCCAGTTATGAAATCATCTACCTTGGATTAGGAAAGAGGAACTATAAGAACTCTTAAGAGATACAGGACTGAGGATTAGTTTCATTTTTCAAAACTGTCTCCAAAACACACCAGATTCACAGAAATATTTCTTGTGCTTCAAGATCCAATGGCCACAGGAAACGCCTGTAGGTAGGTAGCTGAAGGCTATGCCTCTTTCAGTTGTTGCAAAGCCTCAGCTGTACAACATTTGCGCAATACAGAATCCCCTACAATTCAAAGTAGAAAACATCTACCTTGTTTTTCTGGAAGAAACATGACAAAAAGGGAAGCCAGTCCTCCTAGAGACAAAAACATAGCAAGTGTCCGTTTACGGCCAAACCTAACAAACCAGAAAGAAAGGAAACATTGAAAATAGCATGTAAATAGAAGGCTAACAGGCTGCTTTTTGTATCCAGGACTTCAATGCAGCAAATAGACTATTCTTTATTTACATGATCTCCTGCCTGCTTTATGTATGGAAACAGAGATGACGACAACAAAACCCCACCCAAATGATGACAATATCTGTGGCTTACAGCAACTTTTTACTAATCTAGATTCCAAGGCTCAGATGATTTGCAGGGCAGGGGATTTCCTAAACCAAGTTTGAGATTGACTTGAAACCTCTGTATTTTTAGGTAAAACCCACCCTGGAAAAGTGTCAGGGACAAGAAAGTTCTGAATTTTTAATATATTCTGCAGTTGACACTGGGTGAAAATTCTCTATCAAAAACAAATTTCAAAAGTTTTTAGAATGACACAAAATATCCTGTGCTTGCAGTCACAGAGTTGATGAAGACTTAGCAAGAAAATTTGACTGTACAGTAGGCATAAAGTCACATCTCATTCCTACTATACATTGAATTGGAACAGTGAAGCTGGAAAAACTGTAGTATCACCAAAAACAGTATTATGAATGAGCCAATGGGATCTCTTATATTTCATTTGCAGTTATTAATATCTATTTGTACATATGCAAAACCATAGAATACAAAATGATACATGTCATTTTTTTCACATCATGTAATTAAGATATGATGTTACAATACACTGTCATGCCTCACATGATATCATGTCCTGTAACACAATGAGTCTCACTGCTTGATCCCACACAGTATAGTCTACTATGCGATATGATGCACTGCCGTGTGATAGAACACAAGTGAAAAAAAATTACACAAAATCACAAAATCATGTAATTTTGCAAGCCTCACAGTCTGCATGGTTAATGTTGCCATGGATTTTGCAGATCACGAATATCTGGACGTTTCTTCACCTCTGCTTTACTGGATGAATGAAACTGATCAATAAGTCATGAAGAGCAAATGCAAAATGTTCTATGGTCTGGATGAGCCAAGGAGGGAACATTTGCACTTGTGCCTTCAAAGGCATATTTAGTTAGTGTATGAGTGCACATAAAGACACCTGAGCTGAGCAAGTAGGGCTGTCTGTGAATTTTAAATAATATTGATATAAGAACATTTTATTTGCCAACTGGAAGTGTGTGTATATATGTGATTGAATAGTTGAATAATATTGATATAAGAACATTTTATTTGACAACTGGAAGTGCATGTATATATTTGATTGAATAGTTGGTGGTTTATACAACAGAATACCCATTGGTATACACAGGTGTTTTTGAACTGCAACTCCCAGAAATCCCAGCCAGCAGAGCTGATGGTGAAGGCTTCTGGGAGTTGCAGTCCAAAAACATCTGAGTAACAAAGGTTAAGAACCAGTGGTTTATACAACAGAATACCCATTGGTGGATGTATTTAATTACTCAATCTATAGCAGGTATTTTTGCAAACTATATAACAGACCATATGCAAAAACTAGGGATGTGCACTAGTCCCATAATCTGGTCTATGCCTGAATAAGAGCACACAGATTGGAGCCCACCCTAGCCCTTGCTCCTCTAGAGGCACTCTGACCCAATCCTCATGTGGGTTTGTGCTCGTATTTGTGTGTTTGCAGATCTCTGGGAAATCCTGTTTCCTGCAAATGGGGAAAGAAAGACAGCAGGACCAGGCAAGGAAAAAACTGCAGCTACATCAGGCTCTAGAATGTAGGGGCTCCTGAGGTGGAGGCAGAACTGAAGGGCTTCTGGGCCAGGGCAATAGCAGTCTTTTATTTTTCTCTTTCCTATGTTTCTAGCTATCAGGAGAAAGCCCCGGCCTTACCAGTGAGCACAGCAGCTTCCTAAGGCAGCCACAGGGAAGGGAGTAAGTGAGGCTCTTTAAAAGGGCAGCACGCATGGTCCTTTTAAAATCCTTCTTTAAAAGTTAATGCATGCAACTTGGTCTTCCTTCACACCATCTGGAATGGCACCTCATCTTTTGTTCCACTATCCATCAGTACAGCAAGTACCCCGTTTCCCCGAAAATAAGGCCTAACCTGAAAATAAGTCCTAGTATGATTTTTCAGGATGCTAGTAATATAAGCCCTACCCTCAAAATAAGCCCCAGTTAAGTGAAACCCCGCTTTCCACCACTGTGCAGCAACCAGAAGAAGACATGACTATATTTGAATAAATGTAGATTTTTGTACATGAAAAAAATAAATAAAACATCCCCTGAAAATAAGCCCTAATGTGTTTTTGGAGCAAAAAGTAATATAAGACCCTGTCTTATTTTCAGGGAAACACGGTAAGTTTGTTTAGGAACAATATTAACCATGTATTCCTGATGAAAAAAAGGAGAGAAATCTCTCAGTTCCAGTTTCTCTCCTCTCTCCCCAACCCATTCCTTTCTTTCTTCTTCTCTGGACCTGAAATTAATGGTGTTGCAGACCCTGGCTTTGTGACTGCCAGAGCACAAGGGGATAGACGACTGCAGAAACACGACTCTAAACAGTATATTGTCTGTATGATTTAATCAACGTTGTTGCCTCAGGAAAGGCAAAGAAGGTTCCTCTCTAAGTTAAAGAACACACTTTTCTTCTCCACAGGCACTCACTGTCCTCCTTAGTTTCTCTTTCCTTACTTGTAATCACATTATATCTTTTTTTATCTTAATATTTAAGTCCACAAATGCAAGATTCAACACAAGAAATCAAGGCAGGACACCCTGTGAGCATCTTTCTGCGTTCTTTGCTTCTCTTTCTGATTACTCCCAATTTGGTCCATCTCTACATAGTTGTTCAAAAAGGTGCGCATCCTTATTCTGAACTATTATGTATTACTTTTTCCAGGCAGCTAAATCTACAAAATGTTGGGCTTGCATAAATAAGTCATGCAATACAACATGGCTCTTGATGTGACACAATGTCATGGGGCATGATATGTATATAACAAACACAAAGTCTCAACAATCTTCAACAGAGCTGTGCAGATTTGTGTATGTGAACCAACACTCCCAGAATTCCCTAAGAAGCAGGGAACTGTAGTCCAAAAACTCAAATCTGAACAGACCTAGTATTTAAAACACCACAAAACTGTGTTGCATTTGCTGCAACAGACTAGCACAACTGCTCCTTTGGAGTCAGACACGTATCAAGTTACTTACTTTGCAGTATGTTTCATTATATATTGATTTATAGGTTTAATCTATGCATCCAAAATTGAGTGTGTAAATTCCTAAATTGCTGAGTTTTTCCTCTGCTCATCTCCACCAAGACCAATATCAATCATAGTCAAATAAAGAAATGCAAACTCATTTAATGGAGAAATTACATACATATTGGCAGAAATCATGTTGCTCTATTTCATGTGCACAATGGTGATTACATCATCAGCCAAAGGCTTCGTTTGATGACTCAGGGGTGCACGCAACTTTATTGTATCATTTACAAGCCACATGCACCCCAAAATTGCCTTAAATCGGCATCAATGTTGTGCTGATCAGCAGCAATTTGCACACATCAGCATTTTAGCTAACATTAGCTATTGCAGAAGATCAGATTTGGGGTCAGTAGCATCTACAGCAATAGCCAACAACAATCTTATTAAAAAAGTAAGCAGGGTATCTAAAGAGTTTTTATCGCATCCAACACTCACCATTTTTTACTAATCAAGTAAATACAGAGGGGGTATGCAGGAATCTCTATTAGTCCAGAAAGAGCCAGGTTTGCATAGACACTGCCACTCATGTCACCTACATTGAGAGTAAGTCCATAATAAACCAAACTGCACACAAACCTGGAATGGATAAAAGGAAGAGAAGTAAAAAAAGAAATATTGATTGATCTGCTTTCCTGCCTTTAGAACAACCCTAACTTCCGAAGCAAGCAATGATGTTACGGCCCCCAAATGACGGAACTCTGCTACTTCTGCACCACATGACTGCAGGGTGTTTCTAAAAGGACAACTAAATTGTGACACCTGTCATCTGTGGCTAGGATGCCACCCAGTCATTCCATCGAGACAACAGTGTATTATTGTTGTAGCTTGCCTAAGGAGGTATCTATTATTTCCTTGCACAAGTGGAACAGCCATTAGTTAAACCAGATTTCCTCCACAATGGCCAAAACCCTGTTGTTTAATGTAGTAAATTACACTGGAGTAGGCCCATTGAATGAACTCCTCTGTAAGTTTTATTGATTCAAATGTGCCTACTCTAGTTGTGACATACTGTAGCACACACAGTAAGTTGCAGCTAGGATACCCATTTGAATCTGTGGAATTTAGAGAAGAGCTGACTTGCTAAATCTCCACTGATTTAGCTTCCTCTAGCACAATCTACTATGCGATGCAACATGGTTATGGCTGTTCTCTGCTTGGACAACAAGCACTGGACCTACATTGGCAAAGGACTCTCTCTCTCTCTCTCTCTGGTGTTCCACAGGATTCTGTCCTGAAGAGTTATTTCAAGCTATTTTCACACAGAGTCTTTTGTGGTATCGGGCACAGTGATTCAGCACAGTGTTCATACAATTTGTTTAAATAGAAACAAAGCAGCAAATCTGAAAATGAACATGACAACCCAGTTTACTCCACTTCACTGGGGAAAGCTGCTCTCCAGACAAGTGTGTTATCCAACAATACTGTCCAGAGCACTGAAGCTCAGGCCAGTATCCTGTTCAACGTTTAGATACATGTAGCACTCCAACTGTGGAAGCTGGTGTGAAGATCTGATGAGGCGACAGGCATGTGCAATCACACACTACATTTAATCAGATTGCCACAGCAGCTTTCATAGTTGATGCCCCATTTACACATAAATATTGGACATAAAGTTACAGGCATCCAGAATCTTACTTCTTCCATTAAACAAGACAAAAAAAAATTATACCTTGAACTGGACAATGGTCACATTTCATTCCCAAGGTTGTAAAAATATTCACATAAAACCAAAGAGATCTAGCTATATATAATCATTTGATATACATGATGCTTCTACTCATCATTTGCATGTCCTATATATTTACCTATTCTAGTAATTTTAAAAGACACTTAATCCAATTCTTTACAGAATTTATTTATTTATTAGATTTATAGCCTGCACCATCTGGCAACCAGGCCACTCTGGGTAGCTAACAACAATAAAAACAGCAATATTAAAACACGATAAAAATAAAAATAATACATAGCCAACAGGAACCCTAAATGTCTCAACGAGTGAAATGGGGGCTGGGGACTTTACATGTGTTATTAGAAAAACAACCACAAGAATTCTTTGAATAATTAGATTCAACGGTGGCATCACTGGCTACTTAGAGAAAACAATGCATGAACAATGGGACTATTATGTGTCCACCTGGGATATTAAGATTTGTGCAAAAATAGTCATTAACACCCAAAAGGAGAAGAAAAAAAATACATTTCCCTCCTCCACAAATGTTATTGAATGCAAGTTCAAGGATAGTGTGCAACAACGAAACCATACCACCAAGGTTACAGACACTGCAGAAAATATCAGTGTTACGCTAGACTTATTCGCTCATAATGCATGGTCATAATTCATGATCCTGCAGATCCTAGACATGTGTCTACAAAAACACTAGTTTAAAAATGAGTGTTTTCTGAAAAAAATATAACGGTGTGCTGTGTTCGATTCCTAGATTAAACAAAAGGAATTATCAAGCTTTTTAATAGAGACTCCAATGGGAGCAGAAATAGTAAAATCTTACTGATCAAAATTCAAGTTTACTTTAAAAGGAACTCCTGATAAAAGAAGAACAACATCACCACGACCACCAATAACACAAGTATCCCCGTTTTGTATTTAGAGTACAAGAACTGTCAAAATCAGATCCACAGAGAGTGAAAGTACCAGATGAACATCATGATGAGAGTACGTCCCAGAAGGATCTTATATCGGAACAAATCCAGGAAGCTACCACCATCTTTATAGCTCTGCTCAGCTGGAAGCTTAAGTGAAAAAATGCACTTTGGCTTGCGGTTCCTCTTTGCAATGAGGTAGAGAGCATCTTCTGCTTCACCCAGCCGTCCTTGGGAGTACAGCCAACGAGGTGATTCAGGAATGAATCTAAAATAAAAGGACAGTTCATGGATGCCACCTGGGGCATTTTGCTATTTAACATTTGTCTTGTCAATAACATCTAACACAATACAAATAGGTTTTATACTGCAAATATAATATAATTCTGAAAGTGAACGGCATATCATATTATAAAATACTGGGAAAATCCTGAATGTGTGAATGTAACACAAAATGTGAAAAAAAGAAAAAGAAAAACAAAGTAGTATTGGATACTGACACTGTTCACCAACATATTAAAACATGGACTATATAATTATATATAATTAATTAGACTATATAATTAACACAACACGTGCCAAACTGGTTGGTGAATTAATATTTCTACACCAATACGAAGCCTGCATAATTAAACAATAAATCACCCAGAGAGTGTTTCAAGAGCTATGGGGTGGTATATAAGCAGCATGCTTTACTTTTTCACTTTATATGCAAAAATATGACAAAAACATCAAAATTCTGAATAAGTTAGTAAGTTATCCCTCTTCTTTTACCCTCCTGTTTCTGTTGTAAGAGAGTAAAGTAGACACCTCCTTGAAATTTTTTGGAAGTTAGTACCATGTCGCTGATCCTTTTGATCATAATTTATGCTTTTTGATTACAGAACTGGTGAAGACTGGAGAGGTAACATTTAAGAAGGATGGAGACACCTTATGTGCCCTTGCAGCTCACTCTCATGCACACTTTTTCTGAATTCTAGAAAAATATCCTTCAGGTTTTTACTATTTTTCACCCTCAAAGGGCTGGAAAAGTCACATGTGCAGGTAGATAGAAGGAGCTACTATCTGATCTTTGTTCACTGCCAATTTTTGTTACAGTTCCAGACTGTGAAGAAAGATTCTCCCAAATGTGTCAGCTCCATGTGAATAGTTATTAAACCATACCACACTTAGCACCAGACTTTCTGTCTTCCGTTTTCCATTTAGTGCTGACCTCCTTGTACTGCTATCAATGGGAAAAACCCAGTTGTGGTAGACACAGACTAGCTACTTACACATCCTTGCTCACCATCAGTTGGTGGAATTTTGCAACTAGTCCAACATATGAATGTGTTGGTTTTCTTATATAATAAGGTGTAGAATTAAGGTTTATGCAAGTGTATGCACAAGCATAATTTTTTAAAAAAGGAAGTGGGGAGGCACAAGTTTGAGGACAGAAAGTAGCTTACACTACAGAGGCAGGAGAAAAATGCATTTAAATTCCTGTATCTGTCCTCCCGCTAGCAAATGCCAACTTTAAGTAGCCGCTTCCTTACCTATCAGCAGTGGTGTCAGATAGCTCATTCAATGAAAGAAAGTTGCAGAGTTCCCATAAACTACAGTGGTGCCTCGCATTACGACGTTAATTCGTTCCAGCGAAATCGCTGTAGAACAAAAACATTGTAATGTGAAATAAAAAAGCCCATAGAAACGCATTAAAACCCGATTAATGCGTTCCTATGGGCTTGAAACTCACTGTCCAGCGAAGATCCTCCATAGCGCAGCCATTTTCGCTGCCCATGCAGTGAGGAATCTGTCCCAGAAAAGAGCAGGGAACTTTTTTTTTTTACCCGGCAGCCATTTTGAAACCGCCAATCAGCTGGCCGAAAATCGTCGTTTTGCGAGAATCGGTTCCCAAAGCAGGGAACCGATCATCGCTAAGCGAAATCCCCCCATTGAAACCATCGTAAAGCGATCGCTTTTTCAATCGCTAAAAGTTCGTTGTAATGCAATTTCATCATTAAACGGGGCGCTCATCTTGCGAGGCACCACTGTATATATTATGAAATATGGGCGAAAGTGACAACTAACTTAGATGATCAGAGCTTGGCAGAAAAAAGTGAGGACAAAGCAAGGAGGAGCCACAAAACAGACAAGTATTAAAAACGGTAGGATATTGGCAAAGTATCCACACTTCCAGGACACATTCAGGAAGAAAAAAGATACAACAAAGAAAGTAATAGTGGTGAGGGACAAGGCCAAGGATGTCCAAAGGCTCGTTCACCAGGACCAGCATTTGCATATTTTTAGATACACTTTTTGTTCAGTATTGATACAGTCATCTCTTGAATCTTGTATCCAGCTCTTGAGAGTTCACATCAAGAATAACATTAGAAAGGATTTAAGTGAGGTCTATTAAGATGGAAGAATTTAAAAGATATATGATAGAATCATAGAAGAAATTCTATGAGAAGACGCTAAAGTGATAACCAACCAACCATAAAGAAACTAGGAATGGGGGAAGAGGGGAACAGAAAGTAGTTTTCAATAGAAGGCGCAAGAAGAGAAATAATGAAATTCCGTGATTCTCACACCTTTTCATGAATATTATCGGAATAATTTAAAGGTATGCAACTTACAGAGACAGGAGAAAGACTAGTGTTCCCTCCAGGTTAACCACAACTGCTAGCATTCTCCAGGAGCGAATGAGATATCCTAACAAAGCATACTGGGCAATTCCCACAGCAAAGAATAGTCCACCAATTGATCCTAACATAAGGTAGATAAGGGAAAAATTGTTACTGACCATTTAGGGAGGTCTGCCAGCATAGGTACGTCAACAGAACAGATGGGTGGCAGAGGCTACCTGAACAAGATGCAAAGGCAAGGAATGTAAAGGATGGAAGCAAACAAGATTAATTAACTGGGAAAAGAAACGATAAACAAGACCACCACCTGGCCTTTTTGGTGCAAAATTTACCATTTATGCCATAAATTATTAGGGGATGCTACTTATAAAGTAGGACTAATTTGTCACAAAATATACAGAAACTCAAAACCACAAGGCAGAAATATAACTTCATCTCAAACTGACTTCCAGCATGTTTCCGTCATATGGGTTTTTCCTCAAGAAAAACCAAGAACTGGGAAGAAAAAAAAATGAGAAAGACGGGCTAAACCCATTTATTTAATGATTATGATAAATCCTCAAATTACTAGAAATGTAAGATTATCAGACACACAGAAAACCAGCTATATGATTACTTATCCTAAAGGACTTGTTGTACAGTCCTTTTTAACAGAATATCCTACACTGGATTATTTGTTATGGAATTATTTCTTTTCTTTTGCTGATTTTATTTTCAACAGATGTTGACCTTCCATGCTTAAAACTATTTTGCAACTCAGGTTTAAATATGTGGCATTTCTAGCCCTCAGAGCCCTGATTCCCTCTGCTAGCCAACTTTGGGTAACATAATAATCTCTATGAACAGCAGATTGTCTCATCCACGCACAAGAGAGAGGCCTCTGCATGCTTGGGCAAATCCAAATATTTGCAGAACAACAAGAAAAAAACTGCAGGGAAATACAGAAATAAATCCCTGAAGAAATCCCCACATGCATGAAGCGCGTGCCCAACTCACCCAGGTATGTTGCCATAAAAATCCATTGGGATCAGGATTCCCATGGCATGCTTTCAAAAGCCATTGTGCAGGCTCCTGGTTTAGTGTGCTGGGAGAAGGAGGCAGAAGGAGAGATGGGGTGGGGTAAGAGATGAACCAGGAGG